AAAAGTGTATTGTGCCTTGTCGTCACAGGAAACAAAAACGGTAGCGTCTAATGTTGTTAACCCTTGTCTTCCTAAATTATTTTTTAACTTGTTAAAGAAATTGACTGTTTAGTTAAGGATTCTGACGCGAATTTTTTACAAGGGACGATACTCGTGTCTGTAGACAAGGCTGTTCTAATTTTAGAACAGTTGTCTTTCCTCTCGTTTCTCTATTAGGGAAGACCTATGGGGAAGACACGTGATACTTCTTTTAAAATGTAAACAACTGTGCACTGGGTGCACTTAAAATAAACCCCGCTGCGAAAATGACAACGGCATGGCGACACTTTTTGGAAAACACGCTTTCATGTAAATAAAATAAGGATCGCTTTTGTTGTCACCATGATAATGTATATCCCTGTAAGTTCTCTCCGCCTTTATCGACCTAGTATGAATTTCGCGCGCGCGCGTATGTGTGTGTGTGTGTGTGTGTGTGTGTGTACGTGTGTATGTGTGTGTGTGTGTGTGTACATGTATCTCAAAAAAGTGTATCATGTCAACACCTGGGCAACAAGTCATAGTCAAAAAGGCCTAATTCATTACAGATCTATAGGAAATCCCTCTTTACATGTACTTACGTTAGGGGGAGTAAACTCATTTGAATCAAAAAACGTATTAAAATATATAGAGTTATAGAACCTTAAAGTTAACAGATGATGAAAAAAATAAAATAAAAAAAAAATTAAAATTAAAATCCACCTCACTTAGGTGGTGGAATCTTTTACTATATATCCTTTACTCCAAACAAATTTAGCACCACCTTACCACCACCTTACCACCACCACCACCACCACCTTACCACCACCTTACCACCACCTTACCACCACCTTACCACCACCTTACCACCACCTTACCACCACCTTACCACCACCTTACCACCACCTTACCACCACCACCTTACCACCACCTTACCACCACCTTACCACTACCACCTTACCACCACCCGCCTGCTTACACCCCTCACCCATATTATTATAAGCGACTATGTATTGAACATTTGTTAAATTTATCTGACTCAGTGTGGTCAAATGGTGGTCAGATCAAAAGAAAATCGGAACGGTCATACAAAAACGTAATTACTTTTCCAGACTTGTAAAAAAAAAAAAAACATGTCTACCCGCATACCTCACGTACCAACGCACCAAGTCGCCCTGTCGCCAATTAAAAAAACACGAACCTACCGAGACTTTGTTTTGTCTCAAACCTGACTTAACGGTGGTTGAAAGAAAATTCCAACCCTTAAATATATTTTGTTTTCGCTGACCCTCGCTATAAGCGAATAGTTACAACCAATGTCCTTACTCAGGGTAATTACAGCATCAGCTGTTACGTGATGGCTTCCCACTCTAGTAACCGAGCGGGGAAAAATCGATTAACGTGGTAACAGGTGTTCCCACACTTAACGCTGGCTTCACGGAGAGACACTTAGCTCTTTCAATTAATTATCATACCCCCTGCTGTGTTCGCTTCCGTGAACAACACATAAACCCACGAGGCGTGACCAAATTAATTAGGTGTGATGGCCCGTGGGTGCGATCAATACGTAACAGGTGTTACATGTCTGGTTAATGGATGTTATTCACAAAGTACACGCTAACGCACCCCTACCCTCAAACCCCATCATTACTCCCCCTCTCATCCACCAACACCCCTATCCGTTTACTATTAAACATACATACAATCAAATAAACAGTGTCTTTTATTTTAAATACCATACATCAAAGAAAAGAAATATATCAAATAAATAAATAAACAAAAGTAATTAAAATCAAATTACGTAACTAGTTAATAATAATTTAACTAATTATAAAATAAAATAAAATTAAATTAAAAATAAACAAAATAAAAATAATTAAAAAGTAAACAAATAATCAAATTACGTAACTCGTGAATAAAAATTACACAATATAAACAAAGTAATTAAATTAAACAACAAGTAAACAAACAAATTAAACAAAATAAAAATACAATCAAAGTAATTAAATTACGTAACTCGATAATAAAAAAAAAAAAATTAATTAAAAATTTAAAAACTCAAACAAATAATCAAATTACGTAACTCGTTAATAAAAAATTAATTAAAATTTTTAAAACTCATTAAAACTAATTAAAAAACACATTAAAATTACGTAACTAGGTCAAAAATTAATTAAAATTTAAAAAACTCATTAAACTAATTAAAAAACTCGTTAAAATTACGTAACTAGGTCAATGATTACGTCACAAGGTCACCAAAAGGTGACCTACTTCCCCACCACCTCCGCCAACCCCAGTTGGCGTAGTATTTTACTATATGTCTTTGCGCCACCCCCACATCCTGCTCACCCACCCTCCCCATCCCGATGCGCCAGGCTGGGAGTATTTTACTATATCTCTTTGCGCCACCCGCGCATCCTGCTCCCGAGTATTTTCCTATATGTCATTGTTCCTCCCCATCCCCACCTCCGCCAAAAATAATACCCAAAAGGGACCTAATATACTACTGAGATCACTCCCGCTTTATTTTATAAAATGAACTTAATGAAATGTTGTTTAACAAACAGAGTGTATGAGTAATTTATTAAATTATGTTTCTCCCCACCCACGTGACTCCCACTGCTTGCTTGGATGATGACGTAGCTTAAGCTTAACAATCTTTTTATTACTCTATTTACGTGGGCGTATATTTACATTTTCGGGTCGTTGTTTTTTTAAAGATGACTGAGTTAACATTATGTTGAAAATATTTTTTTTTTTTGCTAGTTCGGGTCGTGAATTATAATAAATAATAATAATAAAATTCAAGAATCTGACTGTGGGAATATATTTGTTGCAAATCTTTGCGACAATTATAGTGCTAATTTTTTTTTTAAATTGAATAAAACTTAATCTAGACACACCTATGTTTTTTTATTGCATTTTTTTTTGTTTTGTTTTGTTTGTCGTATTGTGACTTGGTTGGATTACGAACGCACACCTAACAACTTGATTGGTTGCTCGATGTATGCAGACATTTCTGATTGGCTGCTGTGTTTAATCCTAACGATTACATTGACTTCACCATGTGTATAAAACATAAAGCTCGCAGCGCTCTAAGATGTGTTTTGGCTGTTCTCTGACTGCTAACAAGTAAACGTTATTCCATTTGGTGGGTAAGTGAATATTCATATATATATATATATATATATATATATATATATATATATATATATATATATATATATATATATATATATATAATAAAGCTCAGATGTATTCTGTGGCCAGTAGCCGGACGATTTCTCGAAGTGACACTTGCCCGAATGCCGATTTACCGAATGAACACTTGCCCGAATACCGATTTACCGAATGAACACTTGCCCGAATGCCGATTTACCGAATGAACACTTGCCCGAATACCGATTTACCGAATGAACACTTGCCCGAATACCGATTTACCGAATGAACATCTGCCCGAATGCCGATTTACCGAATGAACACTTGCCCGAATGCCGATTTACCGACTGAACACTTGTCCGAATGCCGATTTACCGAATGAACACTTGCCCGAATGCCGATTTACCGAATGAACACCTTCCCCAATGCCGATTTACCGAATGAACACTTGCCCGAATACCGATTTACCGAATGAACACCTGCCCGAATGCCGATTTACCGACTGAACACATGCCCGAATGCCGATTTTTCGAATGGACACTTACCCGAATACCGATTTTTCGAATGGACACTTCTGAATGCCGATTTACCGAATAAACACTTACCCGAATTTCGATTTACCGACTGAACACTTGCCCGAATGCGACAACAGCCCGAATGGTAGTTCAGAAAGACAATTTTGATCTGGCCTGTTGTTTCTCGCCTGTATGTCTCCACGACTCCCTAGGCCGTTCATTTTATCTCCTCCCTGCTGGTGTCCAACGAAGTACCGTGACAGTTTATTGTGGCCTCGCCTTGGGGGGGGGTACTTGAAATTTTCGGGGGGGGGGGGTAGTCTTTCTTTGGGGGCGGACACTGTTAAAAGTATATATTTTCTATATAAATTATATAAAGTTCAGTTCGTTCGGAGGGGGGGGGGTAGAATTTTTTCGGATGGGGCAAGCCCCCCCCCCCCCCCCCGAAGAGATGCCTGGAAGAAACTCTGCTTGGGAGCATGTCCAAACAAACTTATTTATTTTAATTTCTTTATTTCGTAGAATTTTAATTTTTTTTAACTGTCTAGCTTTGGTTATAAGTTTTTATTTTATTTAAGTCTACTCAGAAGACAAAATGTTATTAATAAAATAATTTCCATCCCTACTAGGCTTCTTGTCAAATGCCATTGCAATAATTTAAGCATTAAATTAAAATATCACACATTGATTTAATTAAAGGTTTAATTTAGTGTATAAGTTTTATTGACGCTTTTTAACATGAAAACAAGAAAGGCATACGTGGGCACGTCTTAAAAAGAACAGAAACAAATGATTGGCTTTTGGGTTTAACCTTAAAGATGTAATTGATATCAGGTAGCGTATAAACTTATAGTACGCGCTGTTATAAATAAAAATCCATTGGAAAATTATTTCTAATGTTGTTGATAAGAAAAAAACAACAACGATACTAACCCCACTCCAACTGCCCACCTTTCAAATATACTCGAGCAATTTCCCCCACTCCAACTATCCACCTTTCAAATATACTCGAGCAATTTCCACCACCCCAACTGCCCACCTTTCCTCAGGCACATTTCAAGCCCTCAGCGGTTTTTAGAATACCGAAGGAGTTAAAACTAAGTTTGACTGTTTTGTAATATAATAACTCAGTAGTATTCTTTTGTGATTAAACAAAACGGCAGAGGTTTCTGGCATTAAAACAAAAATATTCGGCGACTCTGCCCAAGAGGTGTGTGTGTGTGTCCGTGCGTGCGTGTGTGTGTGTGTACACATATAGCTCATCGTAAAATGAGCATAAATTGTTAGTAAATTTACAGGTAGCAACTTAAAGTTCTTCATCATGGCAATACAGTCTCTTGGGTTGATGATACAAGTCTTGATGCTCTACCATATGTTCGCTGAGACTCGTGAGTATAAGAATCACGATAAATCGTATACACAGATTAGATATAGTCATTCCTTACACGAAGAAAGCCGTTTTTAATTCCTTTAGCCTCTGATAAAAATTGTCCATGGTATCATTTGTCCTGATATATTTTAATTTTGTCCTGGTATCTTTTATCCGCGAGATCATTTGTCCTTGAGGTCATTTGTCTTGATATATTATGTCAGATATCATATATCCTGAGATCATTTGTCATGGAACCATATATATATATATATATATATATATATATATATATATATATATATATATATATATATATATATATATATATATATATATATATAAATCTTCATATATTTTGGGAGTAGGATTAAAACTGGGAAACAATTTATTAGGGAAACCTAACCAATACTTTGTTGTGCTGAGGAAAGAATAGCCAACTACCAATTTACGCTTACTTAAAAGTAATATGCTTAGTATGGCCTGGAATGTTGGAAATCAACAAAAGCGATTGAGATTAAACTAAAAGCTGTTTAGAAAATTGGTTACGACAAATATAGACAATATTCTGAGCAAATACCATCCCAAACGAGGAAATAAATAGAAGACCACTCACCCATGAACAGTAGTTATCAGACATCGGAGATGGGGATGGTTGGGCTATTGCTAAGAATGAGAGGAGACACATTGGCGAGGAGTGCTATCAGATAGACAATACAGGGCAAGAAAAAACAAAAGAAACATGGAGATCAATGGAAAAAAGTTTAATTAAAGAGGCGTACCATTCAAACAAGCGAAGCTCTAAATAAAGGATTGCAGAGGCGTTATCATAGCTGAAAGAAGTAAAAAGTTAAAAAAAATAGTAAAGTTTCCTTTTTGAACCTGACGGTGTATAGAACAAATGAAGTGAGAGTTCGTCTGTTTATGTGAACTCGGCATATGAAGGTATGTTATGATCAGCACTATGCCCAGCCAAGTTTACATTCCCTAACTTGAATAAGATACCTATAAAAAATGGTGGACTCGGGGATGATTTACGGCTGCCCAACCCTTGTGACTTTCTGGTTAGCAGTCTGGTGCTCTACTGCAAGGGCACGACGTCTTTGCTCCGAGAAGTGCATACTACTTGTTTATAGAAATACAAATTAATTCTAAGACAAACGCTTAACTTATGGTTGTTAGGTCGGAGAATATTCGACCACCAGTATATATTATATATGTTTGTGTGTTAAAGATCTATTAAGAACAATTTATATTGATTTTAGATCAATGCATTGCCTACGATTCGACTGGATTGATAAGTGTACAAAGCACAACTGCCATATCCAAAGTGAGTTGTTTTATAACGTTAATTTACTTTGTTGCTTGTGATATAATCTAGTGACGTCGCGAGGTCGTGTATCACCCGGTGCGGGACGTTATGGTGTTATAACTATATATATATATATATATATATATATATATATATATATATATATATATATATATATATATATATATAAGATTCAAGCCCATCCCTTCCCTCCAGAAAATGTGTTGAAAAAAAAAATTCCCCCAACTATATTACTAATTAAATTGGAGTTTTACACCAAATGATAAACATTAGCGATAAAGAGAGAAACGGGGGGAAGGGAAGGGGGTGGAGAGTGGCTGGAGAGGAGAGAAATTCATTTAACCATCAACATATCTGAGTAATAAAACCATAGATAAATGAATTTGCTCTAATTAGAATAAAGACTGTATTACATCTTACAATTGTATTGTATTTTCTGTACTATTTTAATAATTATAGCGATGATATATTCAAATATATATATTCACTTCGTTACTTTTTGTTGTTGTTTGTAAAAATCCAAAACACCTTAATACATTAGTGTTGTTGATAATGAATTAGGAGCCATCAATTATTCCCATTATTAGATGCTGAATTACATTTTTTAAACTGTATTTTCAATTTTTCTTATTATACTGTCTTTAAAAAAAATATATATTTTTGACAACATGCAGGATTGTCTCGATTTAAGTCTGCGCACCCCAAAGTGTGTTTACTTTACATGGGTTTCAACAGTGTGTACACTTCGGGTTCCCACAAGACTAACTGATGCATCCACAACTGGTGTGACCTTATCATCGACCATTTGTGAGGAATACAGTAAGTTATTTATATCCCTGAGTATCAACAATAATCACATTTTCAATACATAGGAAATTATTTTATGACAGCATGTTCTTTAACATATTCGTCTTTGAAAAGGCAATACAAATATAATTTAGACCTCAGGGTCCCCAACTTTTTAACTGGCGACCACTATGTACAAAAGTCAAGCGACCAAAGTCCCCCATAAAATTAATAATCTTGTTTTGTTTAGTCTACAAGTGGCGTCCCACAGAAACACAAGGGCAGGGGGTGGTTTAGTGGGAGGTCCATAGATTTTAAAACCATTTATTTTGAATAAAGTTCGTAATATATCTGGGTGCATGATTTTCATATCAGGGTAAAGATTGTATCGCAATAAGTGTTACATTATTTTGTGATAGTTATAGTTATAAATAGTTTGAATATTAATTTAAATATGTATGAAACAGTGCATTTTAAAAAGTTTATCAATGTGCACATAAAATTTAGTATGAAAATTATTTTACGTATTCAATTCTATTAGATATATGAACCTAATCAGTACCCTTCAATACCTATCCCATTCAGTACACAAAGATTTGAGCTAAACACTCCAACTACCACACCCATCAAATGAATATCGCATATATATATATATATATATATATATATATATATATATATATATATATATATATATATATATATATATATATATATATATATATATATATATATATATATATATATACATATATATACATATATATACATATATGTATATATATATATATACATACATATATCGCATATATATATATATATATATATATATATATATATATATATATATATATATATATATATATATATATATATATATATACAATTGTTACTCTTTAGCAAATTGCTCGTCCTACACGGATATAATTTTCAGTGCCCCGATTGCTATCACAAATCAGGTAAATGTTAATACTGACATTTTGATACGTATTTTAAAACTAGACATAGCCCGTTGAAGAGGAAGTAAAACTGGCGTTAGGCTGAAAGTGCTTTTGTCCTCCTTAAACAAAAATGTTAACGTAATACAAATTCTATTCCCTGAACCGGAATCGAAATTTAGCCGGAAATATAAATTTATCATAATGCGGAACTTTAACCGGTATTGGAAATTTAACCGCAACAGAGAATTTAACCGTTACCGGATATGGAAATTGAAACGGAACTCGAATTTTAAATGAAACAGGAACTAGAATAAAAAACGTTACTTAAATGTAAACTGCAGTTTATCGGGTTTTACCTGGAATTGGAAATGTAATCTTAAACGGTTATTTAAGTTGAATCCAAACTGTAAACAGAACCGGACATTTAACTTGAACCGGAAATTAAATTTGTAGTAGGAACTTTAATCAGAATCGCCTATTTAATCGGAACCGGAATTTTCACCAGAATAAAAAAAAATCGGAAACAGAAATAATTGAACTTGAACCGGAACTTTAACCGGAAACTAGACAGTAAAAAGAACCGGAAGTTAATCAGAACATAAACTTGAACTGGTGCTAGAGCTTTACAAGGAAAAGGAACTTCAACTGGAGCCGTATATCATACCTCCAACAAAAGCTAATCAAAGACATTAACCTAAACCTTTCTTTTTTCTACGAGATTTTATTCTATTTTAAAAAGTTTAAGTATTTAAAATGGATTAAAATCATGTCTATATTCCGAGTCGCCATCCCCGGTTGCTTCATATAAGAATATTCGAGAAAGTTTAGGGGAGATTACTCTCGGTTGATTATCTTTGTTTTAGGTAACCTCACTTATCTTTCCAAATGCAACTTTATATTTTTCTTACGTTTTGTGTACAGCTTTCTTGTCAGACAAATAGACAAAAGAGTGAAACTATATATTTTTTTTTGCAAGTAGGTGCGGTTAAAAATGAAATTATTATTGTTGTGAAAATAATGTTTAAATGAACTTTATTTTCTAAATAATTACCAACAAATTACAACGTCTCCTAACACAGGAGTGTGCTCAGCGTTCGGTAGCACTACCAGATGCAATAGGTTATGACTATCGAAATGGTTTATGTATGCTGGAATTCGTCAATGGAGAGAGAGTCGTCGCGACAGATTCCCCTAATGAGCTACAAGGATATGTTCTCTGCTCACCAAGTAAGTATTCAAATATCTGAAAAAAACTAGAGCACAAGTTTCATTTACCACACACCATAAGCCTGGATCAAATGGAATTGTCTGAATAATGTACACTATTTTATTTATCTAAATACGTATTATCTATGAGCAATATTTTTATCTTTTAAATTTCTCCATCTAAAAAAAAAGAATACAAATGCTATATATAACTAAGCAATATTTGCATTGTTTTACGTCTCCACCAAAAATGTATACCAAAATAACATAATTTTAATTCTATAATTCAATCCGCCAAGGTGCCTCTAACAGTAATCTTAACCTTTGCTTATCTAGTATAAATACAATTAACATACGTAAACCAGCTTAGACGCCGGGGTAGAAAAGTAATTGATTACATATACAATTTATTTTAAGCAGAAAATATAATCTTTCAATCAAATTATAATGTCAAGTAAGTTTAAAACAACATGGCTATATTTGTGTCTCACTAGTTGCCCCGACAACCACACAAGAACCAACCACGGTGGACGCCGATACAACTACCGGGAGGCCAAGTAACTTAAAAATTAAACATTTTTTTTTTTAAATAATATCTAAATTACAAACTATTAATATGTATTTAAATGCTAGTTTGTTATAAAAATAAATTAAGATATTGATAAATTACGTATCAAATTATTGATTTTAAGATTATACGTTTAAAAAAACAGAATCACATTTTATTTCATTAAAGTTGATTGTTTTAAAAATAATAACATTTGATAACCTCGTTAAACTTTAGGGAAACATTGCAAGAAAGGCTAAAAGAAACTACAGAGAGGTAAATTGGTGATGGTGTTTGATAAAGTGAGAGTAGTGTTGTTGTTACAACGATTTCCGAATTGGTATACATCTATGAGCACAAGATAAATTGCGTTACTCAAAGCTGTTGAATTCGGCACATCTACATTACTCGATTTATCGCAAAAGTATTTTATATCAAGCCTATGAAGCGTCTTCTAAATCCTTCTGCACTTTGTAAATTTTTATGAAATTTAGGTTACATTGTATATTTAATGCTGCAGTTTGTCAATAACTAACCTCCTTGCTTAGCAATATCCAGTTTTGCGCACAAAGATCCTAAAAATTATTGATGCCTTTTTGTTTTTAAAATCACATGTTTACTATTTGTATTAGGACAGCTTCTTTCAAAAAAATCCATCAAATGCTTGCATTTAGTATATTAGACATAATTATAAATTACTACTATGAAATAAACAATTTTCATTCAACTATTTTTATTCTACAAGATTTTTTACCAATAATCCGTTTATTACTTGTAATTTTTAAAATCTTTAACTTTAAGGGTATTTTCTTGTATATTTTACACAACTTCAATGTAAGTTCATTTAGAAATTTAATTCCGTTTTATTTTTTTTCAAGCAGAAGTTACCTCACGAAATGGACGTTCGAGATTACACAGATTTGGAATAAATAAGGCAAACAAGGGTGTCCTGCAATTAAAAAACGTTTTTAACTTCTCCTTAACTCTCTTTCCTCATATTTCTCATATTATTTTTAATACAGCTTAAAATTTCTAAATTTCTATATTTCAATTTTATTTCCCCTTTTATTAAATAAATAGTTTCTCTTCGCCAATAATTTCCAAATTAATAAAGTGTTTTCTTCAAAACTAATAATGGTTGTTATATTTTTTTTTGAGTACATTATTGTCCATGGCGTCTATTAAAGATGGGATATTTGATTTTAATTAAGGTGATAAAACTAGGAGGGTAGAGAGAGACAATCCATGGGAGATAATGCCCTCTTCCACTATTGCTTTACTCTACCAGAGATTAAAAAAATAAACTGCCTGTATCTCAATCCTATTTGTGAAGTATTAAGAAGAAATATAGGAACCCGGACTTTAGTGCATGCATTTTGTGGTTGAATCGAATGCAGTGTTTCTTTAAGACTTTTTCTACGGGGGGTACGGGGGACTAAAAATATACATATTTTCTATATAAATTCAATTTCGTTCGGAGGAGGTGGGGGCGGGTAACGTACTTGGAGGGGGGGGGGGAGGGCTAAAGTTAAAAATAGTTGTTTCCATTCAGAGAAGCAAAATGATAGTAATACGAGTTTTCGTTCCTAGATATTCATATACTGTTATATACAGCAACACAGCCACCCGCCCCAATACATACACATTGCGTTTTATCTCGGGTCGATATGACAAACGCAAAGTTGTAGCCATGCTGCAGTGTGATGGCGGTTGCAGCTATGATTGAGGGGGTTAGGGCTGGCTGGGCGTTTATTAGGTGACACAGCCCAGACTATCTCTGATATATTTAATCACACTGGAGAGCGTAAATTGCTTTGAGTATTTCGTCACATATACACTATTCAACTGAGACGGAACATATTAAAAATTAGTTTGAGAGGGGGGGGGGTCTAGTTCCGCCACTGCTCTTGTTACAGTTTGAACTACAATTGGAGTCTCAACAACAGAGCCAGGCGGGAAAAATAAAATAAAAAACGTCATTATAATTTTACCAACTTTGATGAGCGGCTCAAAAACAGTGTTGTTTAGAATAGGTTTGGATCGACTGTGTGGCTTGTTAACTGAGTACAGCATCTTATCTAGGATAGAATACTGCTAAATCAAACAACTGATTGTTCTTGTGTGGACCAAGACTACGGAGGCAAATCCAGAAACAAAAGCAGGCTAAAATCAAGAGTCTATGGACGATATGGCGCATAACAACTTGAAATGTAAACTTTAAGTTTTTACTTTCTCGTATATACGTAGTATAGAGAAAAGATTGTAATCGTGCAAAAAAAA